GTTTATAACATTATGGTAATTATAATGTTTATAATAAATATAACACCATCGATATTCATAGCACTAGTAAAAAATACGTTTTTCCTGCCAGTTCAAGGAAAGGTGAAATCGGGTAAGGTCACAAGGTCAATAATGAGTATCAGTTTAATTACTGTTTGATGTAACATTCTTTATATTTACCTTTCTCTGTGTAGTTCTACACTTGATTATTATCATAGGAGTGCAATAGACAGGCACAGAGACATAGAGAGTCTAGAATACAAGTATAGCTAAGTACATCTCTGAATTTTGAGATAACAAAATATTTGGGATATTACAGGTAACGTAAAGATGTCTAAGGATCTACAGAGCAACCCCTTTGCTGCGCTGTTCAGCACTTTAAAAGAGGCCGAGCAGTTTCAGGCAGAACACCAGAAGCAGCATGATGATGAGGACAATGATTCACAATCTATGCTTCAGCAGTCTGGAGAAAGGTAAAGTCTATCTTCATTTCTTTAAATTTGATTTATTTTTATTTTCATTAATTTTTTTTATCATTTTTTGAGATGAAGAGTAAGTGATGTGTGATTTTGGTCTCAAAATAGAACAAAAAGTTGATGAAAGAATTGAAATTTGAACTGGAATTAGAAATTACCATAAGATCATAGTCTGATAGGCCAAACTATTTTAAGTCTGTCCAAAAATGCAAGTGAAAGACTGGAAATGGTTTAGGAATTGTGTGTCTTCTACAGTAGCTGTAATGTATTTTTACATGAGGAATGCAAGAAATATTTATTTTGAGGAGTGTGTGTATATGTTCTTTATATATTGTCTGTAAATGCATATATAGATATATTATCAGTGTTGCTAATAACAGCTTCATTATAAATAACTGTTATTTGAGATAAGTATATACAAGAAAATATAATGAGTAAGGCAAATGAAATGCAGGAGTATATATATGTGAAATAGTAAGCTTTGTCTTTATATCTCTTTATATCTCTTTCTTTTTGGTTATTGCTTTATATGTACTTGTAGTCTTTTCATATGCATGATTACTTTGCAATTCATAGAAATTTTAGGTAGGGTAATATGGCTCATATTTAGAGTGTTATTACATATTCATGTATAGATTTACCTTTTTTTCCTTCAGAAATTATACTTCGCTGTTCTTCGCTGCTCCTGAAAGAGAGAAAAGTGTTAAAGAGAAAAATAGAAATAGGCATGTATAAGACGCAGAGTCCTTTGAATTGTCGCTGGAGTACCCCAACAGAATTTTGTATTACAGAGAAGAGCCTCCAAGAACCAGTCCAGTTGATGGTGATGCTGTAACATCCTTCCTGGAGAGTCTCCTCCTAGTTACAACGAGGGAAGGACCCCACTCCCGTCCTCTTGTACTACTGCCTGATGCTGGAAACTTAGACACAGAATCCCTCCAGTTTGTCATGTTTGAGAGACTTCTGATGGAGTCCCCAGATGCCTGCTTAGTTGGCGATGGCAACAGAGGGAGGGAAGAGGCTGTGAGGTCTGAAGTTGTGGTATATCTTTGTGAGGTATACTATAGGTGCTGGGCAGTCCGTAGTAGTCCACACTTCCATTTGGCTCAACAGGTAGGTTTGCAGTATTTCAATTTTGATTTATGATAAATCATAAGCCAAAAAAATGTTAAGCAAAATATGCAGTCTATTGAATTAATTATGTCATACATTGAATTGTATTGTACTCAGAGTACACTAATTGCTGATTTAGTTTGATTTATCTGAGAATTATCTACTTAAATGATAAAATTTGCATATCTTAAAAGGTACAAGCTGCAGTTATTACAAACCTGGCCACAGCCTTAGAACAGCCAGAGTTGTATGGAGGACAGCAGCCTGATCGCCAATTAATTGATATCCTGATGAGAGGCTTGGGTCAAGAGGCCGCTGTCGAGGACCTAACTCAGAAACTCCTCAATCACCTTGCTGATCAGGGAACTCCTGTGCCTCCATTGTTTGATGAGGTTATAGTTAATATCACAAAAAAACTAATGCATTGTTCACTCATGACAGTTGACTATCAGCTTGTGGATGTTTTGGACTTTTATGCATCATGTCCTCACATAGCAGAAATTCTCACAAAAACCCCAGACAGTAAGTATTTACTATCATTTCACCAAACAGATGGTGTCTTTTTACTTATTGCTGCAACATTTACTGCACTCCTGTCTAGGTTTAGGCATGCTGTATGTTAACTTTTGTTGTAGTTGTGAGGTGCTAATGCAGATATTATTTAGAGAATGGACCAGGCTTGTATGATGGTAATGTTTTGTCTTTGTGTTCTTTTTATTTATATATTTATTTGAATATTATTATGATTTTTTAAAACTTTGGTAAAAGTAGAAGTCACAAATATTGCTTTGTTCATTTTTCTTTATTATTAGTATTATTTTTTATTCCTTAAACCCTGTTATATAGTATTTTTTGTAGCGATATTATTTTTGTCCTTATTTTTGTACTGTCATATAACTTTTTATTCTTGCTACATCCGTCATGTACTTCATCATATTTATATTAATACTTGCCCAATTTTGTAGACAATAATGTATTTTTGCAATACATGTTTATTATGTTATTTGATGGTATTTGTTCGGTCACTGTCTTTGAAAGATTTAATTTCTTGTTCCCTCTTTTGCCAGAAGTAACACAAGACCGTTCTGGCCGAGGATATCAAAACACACCCCTAGGGGTTCCCCTGTCTATATCCTGCCTCCCCAAGCATCCTGCTGGACAGTTTGAATTTTTTGAGAAGCCATCCTCACAACCCAACCACACCCACAAAGACACGGAAAACAGCATATGGATAGCACAGAACACAATTAATGCCAGGATTCATAAGATATTCTATTCCCTTTTGAAGGTAACTCTTCAGTGGTTTTCATTAATGATTGTTATGGTTAAATATAAAGCTGGTGATAGGTCTATGAATTGTGACATAGATTTGACCTCCTCCTTCAATATGTGATTTATTATTGTACATGAAGGTGATATAACTACCTTATAGAAACTATGAAATGAAGCAGTTATGTAATTTATAAGTGTACTTTATATCTGTACCTATTTAATCAACAAATTTAATTCAGAAACTATTACACATAACCTTGAATTTCTTCCTCATTTAGGTATCACCCAAAGCAAAAGATGGACTCTTAACCTGGGTAGAGTCATGCTTGGAATCAAACAGTGGTCGTGCTGGATTATGGCACGTACAAGGAGGAAACCCTTTAGCAGCTGCTGTGTATGTGTCTGATGGCTTCATGGTCAATTTGGGAGTGGTGATGCTGCAGTTAGCACAGCCATTCACTCAAGACCTCAATACTGCAAAGTTTTTAAAGGTGAGAGAACTGCCTCTATTTGTTATTTTTTAGATGTTGTTTGTTTCCCTCCATATATATACCTTGTTTGTAGACTGGAGGTAATTACTGTATGATTTCGTAGTTCCAAAATGTATTGCCTTGAATATGTCTTTAAATATATTTTTAACTATCTGTCTATTGACCTGTCCTTACCTTTCTTTCTATCCATATACCACTTCTATCTTTTTTTTTCTATTTGATGTTATTGGTAGTAGAAAAAATCTGCTTTAATACAAAAAAATACTACAAATCAACCTGATGAGCATTTGTTTAGCATTTAGATAATTATGCTGAGACAATTTACATAGATGAATACTTTCTTTGTAAGTGTTTGATAATACACGTAAATTAGTTTAGAAAATTAATATTTCAGATTGACCCAACCTACTGTGCAGCCCCAAGAATGAATAGTGAGAATGGTGTAGTAGGTGCATACACTGGAGATTTAGGGCGACAGACCACCCTGATCCCGCAGCAAGAAGACAAGCCACCCTTATACCCTAAGCAATATTCCTTCATCAGTTCTTGCTTCTTCCTAACTCATCGAGCTCTTCACCTTGGGGTTCAGGTAAGAGAGAAGTATTTAGCAGGAGTTCAGTTTTTAATTATTTAAGTGCATTTATTTTCTACATATGATAAGCAAGATTTGATTGGGATTTTTACCACGTAAATTCATACTTTGTAATAATCTATTTCTTCAGTTTGATGTGAGAAATAGTTGTTGTTTGGATAAACTATGTTCAAAATTATTTTCTGTACAGGTGGTGCAACAGAAGCTCAATAAGCTCTCTCAGGAACTAGGACGGATGCAGCATGAGTTGCAAGAAGCTTCAGCTCAAGGTTCACCAGCTACAGAGATGATGCGCTCTCACATGGAAACACGCACCACAAATCTCCTTTCATTTAAGGCAGCAATAGTTGAGCCTGTAATGGTAGAAAATTTATTACAGTTCTTAGCAGCCTCTGCAGAATGGCTGGTACAAATTGCCCTTACCCCACAAGATCAACCTACTCTACCTACCAGCTTAAGAGAAGTAAAAGCTCCACTGCCAGAGGAAGTGGAAAACCATGCCTATCTTGCTTGTATTCCAGAATTTTTGGTTGAGACGCTGACAGAGACAATCAGTGCTGTGAGACGGTATAGTGCCCAAGTTTTTGAGAGTAGCACTGGTACTCAAGTGCTGCCACATCTAATGTCTTTCATAATTGTCTTCATGGGTTCCCCGCATCGCATGAACAATCCACATTTGCGTGCACATTTGGCAGAGTGTTTGGAGACACTTTTACCAGAGAGTACAAACACTGGAGGACTGTTGGCTGGTTACAGAGAACAGCTATTTACAGCCCACCCAGCCGTCTCACATCTTGTAACAGCTCTCATACATGTGTTTGTTAGTATTGAAATGACAGGACAAAGTGTCTCATTTGAAGACAAATTTAACTACAGAAGACCTATGTAAGTATGAGTGCCTATTAATTCCTTCAGTGATTTATAAAATTGCTGTAAGTGTCAACATTACTATGCAGAATTTTCCTGCTAAGTAACTAGGATAATTATGTCCATAACAGGTTAGATATAAGAACAAATGTTGCTGTCACTTAAGAATGGCAAATTGCCTTTTATAATAAGATTACCTGTTCTAGGTACGAGGTCATGAAGTACCTTTGGGAATCCCCCAAACACCGAAAGAGCTTCACTCACTTGGCAGATGAAGCCCTTGCCAACATGGAAGCAGCCAAGCCACCCCTTTTCTTACGTTTTGTTAACTTGTTAATGAACGATGCCATCTTCTTATTGGATGAAGGGATGTCTTACATGTCGCAGCTGAGAGAGAGTCAGATGGAAAGGTAATACCCTGACTTTGGGGATATATATTACTTGGAAGTAGAGAATTTTCAATATTTTTTTCAACTGATACTTAAATGAAATGGTTCCGAAATGAGGCTAATGGAAGATGTACTCTTAATAATGATATTCACTATTATTGTCATATTAGACTAGGAATGAGTTATGCAGGAGTTGTTTAGCAATCAACTGATGAAATTATCTCAATTCCCATCAGAGACAAAGGTGACTGGGCATCCCTCCCTACAGAGCAACGTGCAGAGCGTGAACGCAGCATGCAGCACATGATGCTGCTTGCTCGCTTCCACAACATGTTAGGCGGTCACACTATAAAAACTCTGATCAGGCTCACCAGAGAGGTAAAACATACATCAATTGAATAAGAATAGTGACAAGTCGATAAGATTTATGCAGTTTATGCAGTATGATATAGGGATGTATAGTTGCGTGCAAGCTTAGTTTTTCTTTTAACAAACAAACAAAGTGTTTTCTTTTGAAAAGAAAGAAACAGAACAGAAAAACTTGAATAGAATAATCTGTAATAATTTTTTTTATGTAAATTTTTTTTATTGCAGATTCCCCAAATGTTCACCCATTCCACTTTAGTTGACCGTATGGCAGCTATGCTTAACTATTTTCTATCCACTCTTGTTGGGCCCAAGCAAAGAAATCTAAAGGTAAGCCTGAAGAACCATCTTTTATAACTGCTATCGATAACTACATTATTCTTTTGATAAAGTGTTGATATATATTTAGCATTGGAGTGATCATGCACTTCATATAATAAGGATTCACTGTTATACAATGGTATATTAAGTGTAGTTAATATGATTAGAGTTTTTTTTTTCCAAAAAGGTATAATTGATTGAGGGAAAAAAAGCTGCTTATCATTCTATAACCTTGTTTACTTGGTTTACCAGGTCCGTGATATGGAGAAATATGAGTTCCGCCCAGGAGAGATAGTCACAGACATTTGTACTATTTATACACATCTGTATTCAGATGCAGCATTTTGTTTAGCTGTATCTGCTGATGGAAGGTCATATTCACCAAAGTTATTCTCTCAAGCACAGGATGTGTTATGTAAGTAATCTGGTTATTTTTTTTATCTGTCCTCTATTGGGTGAATATTATGCTTTGTCTCATAAAACTTACTCTTGAAAACTTTGTTCATATTCACAACAGTTTTGACCACCCTAATTTTCTTTTTTTTTAATGAATTCTTAAGTAAGATTTTTTCATTCAGATGATAATGGTTATTTGCTTGTTATTTTGTCAATAGGTCGCATTGGTCGTAGGGGTCTAGCTGAGGAGCTACAGACTGTGGCAGAGAAGGTAGAAGAGGCTGGACAAGTACAGGCAGAAGAGGACGACATAGTGGCTGATGCTCCAGAAGAATTCCTAGACCCTATCATGTCTCATCTCATGACTGACCCTGTCATCCTTCCATCATCAAAGGTAAGTGTGGATTGACGATCTGTACTAGGGTATAATGGGTTTGTATGGGATTTTCTTGGCTCTTCCTAGATATTGACTAGTCTTTGTATATATAAATTGAGATTCAGTGTTTATTTTGCTGTACTGTTGTAGATAGTTTTAGTCTTTTTGTTGTGTTTTTCCATTCCCATTATGTATTTTCACTTGCTTCCCTTAGGTACTAATGAAATGTAATGCAAGTCACATAAAAAGTACAGAAAAATTAACTTTTATATTGAGGTTTCTGCATCAGACAAAGTAAATATAATACACACCATATTAAAGGAGAAAAATATTCTTTAAATACATTAGTGTTTAAGTTAGTATTTAACTCATCATTCTTTTCCTTTCTCTTTTCAAAGCTAACCTGTGATCGCCAGACCATTGCTCGACATCTGCTTTCTGACCAAACGGATCCTTTTAATAGACAACCTCTGACCATGGAAGAAGTTCAGCCAAACACTGAACTTAAAAACAGAATTGTTACTTGGCTTGAAGAAATGCGATCCAAGAGGAGAAATATTCAGAAGGAAAAGGAATCCAAAGAATCTTGAAATACAAAGAGAGATTAGTGGACTTTGCAGATCGAACAGATTTTAAAATACAAGGTAGATACAAGGGTACCTGATTATGCAAATTACGTTATAAATTTCAGCAGAACTTTTTATATGCAGTAATTCTGAATGCATTGCAAGATCTGAGAATCATTGTTCAGCAGGCCCCCCCCAAAATTATGAACATTACAGTAAATTTTAACGTATGATACAAATTGGTACCTCTACCTGCAATGTCAAATACAAGTACCAGTGTAATAAAAAATAATGCTATTTTATTATGTGCAACAAAATTCTTTACAGTAATAAGAAAAAGGAGAGCTGAGTGTATATTAAGGACAATTGCAGGATGTAACTATTAGATAAACAATGAAAATATCATAGAAAAAAGGAAATAAAATCTTCTCATTAAATTTTTTTTTCAGTCATTTGTATATACATGTGTGCATATGCATTTTTTGTTTCTTCTGTATTTAAGTTTGAAAAGTTTGTTGTATATTACTCATATGAAAGTATAGTGGTATGACCCTGCATTTTGTACTTCTACAAATGAAGAATTCTGTTGGTTTTCATATTGGAAACTAACCTGCATATTTGACAATATATTACAATCCCTGTTATCCACATTTTTCTTGCAAAAGTGCACAAGCAAACATTGTTTTGTCATAATGCTTTATTTTGGCTTTAAAGGTAATGAAAGTGTTTGATTTGAGATGCATTGCATTCAGATTGATGTCTTTCCTTGTAGGTGAAACATTGGCAAATTACTATGATATTTGAGAGCAAAACTGTATTTTGTGAATGAAAGAGACTATGCAAATTACATTAAATACTATTTACTATTTAGATGATAAAAATTGTGTTTCATAGTCCAGAAAAGTTATTATGTAACAGAATTTAATTTTTTTGTAAATAAACTGCAGAAAAGTAATATACTGCAGTAATGACTTAATGTACCTTTTGCTTTTGGTATTTAGGTATTAGTGTGGCATGAATTCATAAGAATTGGGTACCAGTTGTCTTTGGTATGAGCTTTATTGTACTTGGATTCACTGGAATTCTGATTAAATTTATTGTTATATATGGTAATAAAAATGCCAAGAGTTATGTAAGCTGAATTATATTTAAAAGTATGGTAATAAAGCATCCACTATTCCTTTCACAACACTAACAGCCACATTCAAAGTTGCACACTCCACTTCCATACTAGACATAGGCCCATAGTGCAGATGTGGCTTGCATCCAGTAAGTCGACAATGAAGGGGCTGCCAGTTTTGAAAAAAGTGCACTTTTGTTGACATTTGGTTATTCATGGATAGTTAGGCAGTTAATATTAGTTTCCAAATGAATACATCTTACAGACTGTCAAAAACAGCACTTCCCCCAATACATGTACCAAGTTAAAATCTTTAAATACAATACTCCAGTTCAAACTGAAAGATTCCCTGATATAATTCAAAGGAATTCATTACAAATTCATAGCTGGAAATAATCCTAGTGGCCAAAGCTTTTTGTGAAATTATTCATTAAAACTTAACCCATTGGTGTTGGGTACATGTCCACTAGTGTTTGTTTTGGGAAATTTGTGTGCACAGATGACTCCCCAAGTGCTCTGCCAACAAGGAGTATCTCAGTAAGACCTACTTGATTACCCATTCTTTGAATTCTTAAGTTTTTTTTTCTTATGTTATATCATTGATGTTATGATTATTATGGGGTTTTCAACAGTTCTGTTAGCACTAGAATTTAAAAAGAATCTCATAATCAAAGCAGAGGATAAACATGTGAAATAGGACTAGTAACTTAAATAAAACTAAAATCATAGTGGACATGGCATGTATGGACATGCCACTTCAGCATCAATGGGTCAACCATTCATTGGAGTAATTTACTAGAAATCTGTGTTTGCAGTCGAGTCTTCAAAACTCAACTCCATGAATATTTATTCTCTTAGGATATTGCAAATTATAATAGGAAAATACAGAATACACTAAATGACAGACTTAACATGGATTTTTGGATTATGTTACTGTTATGTATTTTGATTCAATGAACTTATATTAGGTAATCACTTGTAATACACATTATCAGTAATATCATGACGTAGATAACAGTGTGGGAGTGCTTTGAGGTTCATGTGTGCAACGTTGAATATGGATATTAAAACTCTATTTGAGAAAGTTTCCATGAAATACATACATGTATTTACATCCTTTTCAGTATTTTTCTTTGTTTTCTGTAAAATTGTTGACTACTGTCAAACATTTTCTTATTAATCAGTGAAAAGAACATACATACTATTTGAATGCAAGAGCTTAGTGCATAATTTAGGTGAATGTTAATTAACTTCATATGACACTAATATAAAGCATTAGTTTATGTGGATAGGGGAGGTTATATGTAAAATTAAATTCTTTTTAATTTAATGAATTTCAGTGATTTATTTTCTAGATATTAGGGAGTGTATTAAGGTTGAGTGTGAAGGGCATATAATGTTTATATTTACTGGATGTCTCAATGTTATTAAAAGTGCATGTTTTTTATGTCTAGAAACCAAAGTATTGAACTTTATTGTAACTCAGTCATCATAGAGTGTGGGTCAGGTGTCTAGGGATTAAATTGAAACAGATTGGTGGTATAACAATACAATGAAGAGATACAAGAATTGATCATACAAATTATGTCTCTATTGAGTTTGAGTCAAGATATAAATGAAACTCTTTGATTGGTTATTGTTGACAAACTATATACTTGGTATGTTGAACTGGCAGTAGGCAATACTTGATAAATGGACACATTTATATGAAATTATTGTTTCTAATTGTTGTTTTTATACCCTTAGAGATGCATTTTCCACACAGGATGGTGTGTTCTGCATATATAAAATTAAAACAATTAATGTAAATCCAAAATTTTGATTTCTATTGCTTGTTCTTCAAAATGAGTAATAGAAAAGATGCAGGTAAAATTTTAAGGTGGCAGATGAAGACCACAGTATAGAGATTATACTGTAAAGTTTTGCAATATCAGGACTTATTGCAAATAGGTATCACTAGTAGTCTGAAGGCTTTCGAATCAAAATGAAATATCAAAGCAAAAATTGCTGCCGGGGAAGATGAACGAAAAATGGGGGAAATTCAGTACTCATTTTTTATATTTTTTAAAAATATCTCTGGCCATAGATGGCTCTGCTAGTCCTGATTTCACCTTTCCTTGAATTGGCGGGAAAAAACGTATTTTTACTAATGCTATAAATATAGATGGTATTATTTTTAACAGCAAAGAAGGATAACATTAAATATTTTCGTAAATCGATGAAAAGGGTGAACGGGCGAGACAGGCAGTACTCGTAATTGGCTCATTGGATACTTAGTACAAGTGTAGCCATCTATGTGTAAAAACAATCGAACAAGTCGACTCACAGTGGGCATGGCATGTACGTACATGCCATCCCCGGCGGCAATGGGTTAATTACAAGTAACCATGTATTAATGTATAAGTGATTATTCTTTTGTTGAACTTAGCTCTCAATCCCTTGCTTCTTGTTGTTGTGTGTGTGTGTGTGTGTGGGGGGGGGGGGCTTATGAGACCTCTACCTTAGTTCTCAGCCCTTGCCTCAACTAATTTTGTATGTTCTTTTCTTTTTTCTTTTTCCTTTTCTTCATCCCCTTGTTCTGTCCACTCATCCTCATCGTTAACTCATTTTTGCCACAGTACTTTACAAAATGATCCCTACTCCCTGAACTCCTTCCCCTTCTATCAACCTTTACCTTTTACTATACCCTGTCAACACCCCTTCTTTACCCTTTTCACTACCATACTACCCTCTAGTACTGTTCAACCTGTAACTTTACCCTAATCATAAACTCATTCTTAACCATTTTTACTGCTATACTTTACCATAGTGCCATATGACCTTTGATATCATATTGCACTGTCGTACCTTGAGGCTTTGCCCCCAAGCCTATATTCTGAATATGCCACTAATAACTTTCACTAAATAAGTAAATAAATATTGATATTAGAATCATACATCAGTACCAAGTATGATGTCTTTTAAGTTTAATAGAAGTTCATGAAAGTCGAAATTCTTTCCTGCATTTTTTCTTGACAATAGTTATGACTGCAATACCAGCTTAGCAGATGAAATGAGTACTGGCAGCATACTAAATTCTTTTTTTGGCAGTTTGTTACCTTATGGAAGAGAAAGAAATGAACTACATGCTCCATCATTATGAGATACAAAAATAACTTGTTCATTCTACCATTATTTACCTTTGCTAGTGACCCATTACAATTAGCCTTTTTTTCTTTTTTTAATACTTGATATTCTTTGTATTAACACATTTTCATGTAACTCATGGCCATCCTTATTACTATTACAACTGCTGACCACCATCATTATCATTCTTTCTATATTTGCTTTTAACAGTCAGCTTATTTACCATGCCTAACTCTGGTTATGCCAAGAACTAATAATCCCTAAAGACACACAATTCACAGTGCAAGTACCTGAGTATACAGTAGAAAAAGACCATAATGAAAAAAGCAATTGTGATAGCTTATCTTTATCTGCCTTAAAATAAGTAATTGTGTTTTACACTGGAGTATCTTGAAATTATGAACCCTCTAATTCTACCACTGTGGAACCCTCGAGGTCCAGGGGCCACCAGCTGGGGACTATGGCTTTAAATCTTTGTACATAGATGGGACTATGGCTTTCAAACTTTGTACATAGATATATATAGACAGATAAGGGCAATCCAATTTATTTACTAAATATTGGGCACAATTACAAAGAATCTTTCTTACTAAGGCTCCCACAGAGTATAAAATAACAATTCTGATGCTCCAATCAAAATTCATGATGAATAATTGATGAGTCTACCGACAAAAATGTAGGAACAACAAAACTAAAACAACTTTAATAATGGCAATAAAGAAAAGAAAAAAATTGTCTGATAGTCCACCTTCAATACTCATAAATTCACACTGTAAAATAGAAGAAAAGAATAAAGTAAACTGAAATCAAAGGTTGAAAGAATGTGGGAATGAAAAAAATGGGGTACTGTTGAAAGAACTCTTATATTGGGAAGAACTCATGAGCATCACAGAACACTCAAACATGCACACACAACACTAACATGCTCCACTATAATCCTCCCTTCTAGAGGTTATTTGAAACAATAAAGGCTTGTACAGTGTGTTTTAATGGCAAAATGATCACAGTCCCAGAAACAGTTCACTGTAACTCATTCTTTCACTGTAATTCATACACTGAATTACCTTCACTGTCCCACAAAAATGAGACTTAAAGAGAGTCGAACTTGCTTGCTTTGGAGTTTGGAAGTGAAGATCTTTGGTGATTTATAGTAAGCAAATACTTAGTGACATCCAATACCCAAATGATACACACAAGTTAATTATAAAATTATATATAGGTAGATTAGGGCATTAGAGTTCTAAACATTGGATTGTTACAGATTCCCTACATACCAGTTCACTAAATTTCATAGGTAGCTCAGCTGTTGGTTGCATAGTATATTAATTTCATCCAGGTTCCTCTTTGTGCTAACAATCCATGTTCATTAAAGCAGGTCTGACAAATCTCACTTTCTCCTACATGTACCTGCTACATTCACAACCATTCTCTTCTATAGTATCTCACCTGAGGAATATCTCTTATTGAAATATGTTTGATATTCTATGCCGAATTCACTTGCTTCACATCATTAATATAAGAAAAATATGAAAATACTAGTCTTCTCTCATCTGGAATGTTTCAACACCTTTTCTTATAATGAATTGTAGATATGTTTATTGTAACTCATTGCCTTTTATATCATGGAACTTATCCATGAAGCAATGAAAACAGACTTTACTTTGGTACAATAAGTTTAACAACTACAATAATATAACATTTCACCTTACTGGCAGTTAATTTTTTCACTAATATGAAGCCATTAATCTCTTCAATTCATTAACTTCACAAATTAAGCAATGATTATGCATGTTCCAACAAAAGAGAAAAATAAAATATTATAATTAATACCAGAACTTCCTATATTACACAATACATATCAAAACGTAAAGATAATTCATATATGTCAAAACACACAAATTTCGTAACTACAAATTAATTTCAACACTGGGACCTTTAATGCCATAAAAAAGAAACTTATACCAAAGGTATTAAAGACATTTAGATAACACTTTTCAGAGGAGGCTCTTTATCAATATAAATTAACTCACACTAATCATTATGCCACTTTGTATTGAAAAAAAAAAACGACTTATTACACTCTTAAGAAGGTAGGCAAAACTGATTATTAAGGTTCTTCTCTAGTGTGGACGAGCTCCTTCTACAATGATAACTGTGCAGCATATGCAGTACTCATGATAACAATTTGTGCCAGGATGATAACCAATATTTGAACATTTGTATATCATCAACAAAACTACTGCTTAATAATTCTCTCCATTTTCAGTAAGGCATACACTATAAGGATACAATATAACTTATTAATCTACTTTATTAATTGTGAATTATCACAAATAAATAAAATGTGGTGACAAAGCCCACTTCCATTTCTTTCTCTGGGACTCAAATAGTCACACACAAAGCATATATATAACTTTGAAGTACAATAAATGTTCAAAGGTTACACAAAGATATCAGCAAATTGTTAAGCTCTTGCATGGTCTCTTATATTCAAGTACTAAGGAACTTGTTATTGAAAGAAAGCAGTTTTGCCCCAAAATGTGTAAAGCAAAGTTAAATAATAGTCCTTTTAACACCTCCTGCATATCTTGTTGTCATTATCTGGTTTATATAGTAGGGTGCCTTCCCCCACTAATAGGACTATCTATGTTTAAAACAAGGCTAGTGATTAATTGTATGGGCAAAAACATAAAACAAATACAAGCCTAAATATATTCTGAAACTGCTACTTTCCAAAATTATATGGATAAGAAATTGAACTTCTGAAGGAAAAATAATGGAAATTGTGACTGTATGAAATATTTATCTAAAATACAGTAATCATCTGCATTTTATCCCTATCGTACTAAGAATTTTACAATATTTCCTTTAATGAGTATAATTTCAGCTCAACGAAACAATATATTCCCTAAATGGGACTTATATATCTTATCAATGAAGTACCACTTCTTTGAAAAATGATAAACAACTTAACAATGTCATCATAACTGTTTTCATTCCAGATAAAAACACACTTCCTTCCCTTTAGAACTTTGTTCTAACCCTCCCTACTTTTTATATGCACAACACAAAGCATGAATATCAAATACTGTACAAATTACCAACTGCTGTTTCGAGCCTCAACTTGAAACAAAATAAGAGCCACTGAATACACTTTTCACCTAAAAGCTACCCTGAATGGCACATCATCTTCCTGCTAGATGCTACTAGCACATCCCTGGACACTTGAACTCCTGTGAGGTAAAAAAATCTTTCTGCTGAGGTTCTCTTCCCCACACTTCTTGGGTGCAAGTCTTTTGAGAAGATTGTGTGTGTTGATATGGGTATGCTAGCTAGGTGCTCCTCAGTGTTGACTAAACAAAAATCCAATGCTTTCTACCACTCTCCTTCTCCTGTTGACTTCTGGAAGACATAATCCTTACCCTTCAGGTTCATGATGCCATCCTTCAAAATAAACCTCCACTTATTTCTTACTCTAGTAATCTGAAAAACAAAAAACAAATAAAAAATAAATAAATAAAGTTATCAGACATCCACATAGCGCTATGCTTTATAAATAATGTGACTAAGCTCTGAGACATATATACTGTAGTAGCAGAATCAATTTATAGGTTTTACATTGTTTATTCAGTCCTATTATATAGAACATTGAAATATTTCTTCTCCTACTTTAAAAATAAATATCTTCCAAACTGTACAAAAATGAATGATACTTACCTTATCATACTGACACACAACAACATTGTCTGTATCGAACATATCATTACTGTCATCTTCACTCACATCATCATCAGTATTCAAAGGTTCCTGCAAATGATCTCAATATCAATAAATGGCAGTATAAATCAACAAACTACAAAACAGATTTAGCAAATTCAACAGTTAAACTATATCTAGCTACAACACAACTCAATATTTCTTGGACTGACTGTACACTCAGAATGTTACTGCATGATACAAGAAAAAGATTCTTGTCAGTAATAGAAGTACAATATAGTAGTTAGAAATAAGTGGAAAATGTTACTTATATTAAGCATTAGATCAGTATTTTAAACTTCATCTCATTTTACAAACCACAGTAAAAGACAAGATAATATATATATAAAGATTACAAAAACAATGCTTTTGCCTTTTGTCCAATATTACCTACTTCAATGAATGCAACCATATAAATTTTTAGCAATTTCTTTTAGTCTGGTGTAAACCCAGGTCTAGATGCCAATCTACCTTACTGAAATAATACTAGCAACAGGAATTTTTACTAATGATCACTGTTACACAAATGCCCATTGATCTTTCCAAATTTGTTCCTCTTTTTTCTGAAATGACTTGTCACTCATCATTAAAAAAAGTTACCTCTTCTTGTGCATCATCTTCATCTTCTTCCTCTTCCCCATCTAAAGATTTCTTGTCCTCTTCATCATCCTTTTCATCATCGTCATCGTCTTCATCTTCTGAAATCTCAGATGAACTGTCTCCAGTTCCATATGCACCATCAACCTGAAAGGAGTTCCTTTATATAACCAAATCTTATTTGACATTTTCAATCTGAAACCTGAAGTCCTAAAATCACTTTGCAGAAATAAAGAATTTTCAACTATTCATCCTACCAAACATAAAATATCGTGACCAAGTTGGTGATAAAAAAAAAATAATAATAATCCTGCATAATAAAGCTAAGATGTACTCTTCTTAAAAAGAGTGAAAATAAAGAGTAACTAAATAGCTATACAGAACTTACAATGTCAACTCACCTGTGAAGCTTTCAATCTTGCAAAAAGAAGTCTGTCCATTGTGCCTCTGTCAACGGACAGGGATGGTTGGCTTTCTTTGTTCCACGTCATTTGAGCCAAAGCTGGTTTGCTTGCCTTTCCTTTGGAAGTACTAGGAGTTGGGCCAAGTTCTTCTTCATCAAATGCTCCGTCCACCTAAGAACATACAAGTACTGATTATATTGTGTTTTGATCATCTTATACTCTGTAATCCAAAACTGTGAATTAATTTCTATTCAAATTATTGTAAAAACAGACCTGTGTAGTGGCAATATGGTTGTACTGCAGCAATTGTGGAGGTAAAGTAATTCCATTTTCCTCTAGTGCCTGATTGAGTTTCCTCTGGATGATTTCAGCTGCGCGACTAGGCTGTAAACACGAGAAAAAAATCACAATATAAATCTTTCCATAAATTCATTATGTACAATGTTACTAATAGTTACTAGAAAGAATCAATGAAGCAACTACAAAAATATATAAATATTAACCCCTACTATCCGAATGACATGACCATGTCATGAAAATTTTTGGCTTGAGGGGTGGGTGATGTGTATATGCCATCATGGAAAAATTTGGCTGAGGTCTGGGGTGATGGGAACTTACCATCATGGGAATTTAGGAAGGGGACTCTTGCATTATTTCAATTGATAAACTAGTGTGGAATGTACCATCTTTAAGTCATGACTGGAAGAGCACTAGCTCCAGGGAGGATGTTGTTTCCATGCTAAGGATCCTATTCCTACATGTTGTGACTAGCAGCACAGGTTGTATTAAGAAAACTGAATATTATGAAAAATTGACAAATAGCAAAATATTACTTCTCATTATTCTTGCACTGAGTTATAGGCTATCTAGAGAGATAATATGAAGTTTGTGCAAGGAAAAAGTCTATTATCAACTGGATAAAGCAAATCAAATGACAAATATAGACAAGGAAAATGGCATAAAAAAGCTTAAACAGAATAAAGACAATAACATTACAAAGACGAGGCATGGAATGTTGTCACCTGAACATGCGTGTTCGTGTGTGCCTGGCCTACAAGCAGCACACCCATCGAAGTGGCTGCTCAAATAAGCCTAATGCCTATATTTTGGGCCACATATGGGCAGTGAAGCATCCAGATCCAAGGGTTTAATATACTTTTTTATTACAATTAACTATCTACAGCTCCGTGTGCTTTATTTTTGTTGATGAACACAAACTTAGTGATTATTCTATCCTGAATTCAGGTTACCTCCAGTGAAAATGTATGGGCTGCATCTGTAGCACTCAAGATGGTTTGCAGCTGCTGTCCAGCAACACCATTAGCCAATGCTGATGATGGCACATGAATGGTGATAGTCTTTGGTGCACCTCCAGCCTGCTGTGCTGGTACTGTGATCTGTACCGGCACTAAGTTGGTGGGTAGCATGGTAGATGCTGGTGCTCCTGTAGGTAAGAGTTAAGAGATTGGCATTTATGTATTACTAACGGGAGGGGGGAAGGAAACAAATATATTATTTCTTTCTTTCAAAAAAGAAGCTTAAAAATGCAATTCCTTGCAATCATCCTGCTACTTTGGAGATAAAATTTATGATGTTATGACAAAATTTGTCATAACATCTGAAATTTCTGGTAAAAAAGAAATCCATACACTATCACTTTACCTCCTTGTGCATTCTGTTGCTGTTGTTGCTGCTGCTGTTGCTGCTGCTGTTGTTGCTGCTGAAGCTGCTGTTGGTGGGATGTATTGGCTGTACCTGGTTCTGGGTGATCAAAAACATTCATTCGCTGCAGTTTTTGTTCCCATAACTGCTTCAGTTCTGTCAACACCTCCTCGTCAACTCCTTCATCCAGGAAGTATTCTCGAACTCCATTGATGACATCTTCAATTACTCCATTATATATCTTTTGCTGTTAAAACAGATAAATGAACAACAGTGAGTAAACATATGCAAGAGTGATAAAAAATCTGCACAAGAATTCTTCATGTAAAATATTAAGGCAAACTGCATAATCCTTCCCAAAAGGGAAACTGATATACTTTATATTATTAACCTCCAAAAGTTTTATTTTTTGTGGTTAGATGCACAATGTGCATTCTGTCCTATTTGCCTTGATCATGGAAAGCATGTCAATAACTTTTTCACAATAAACAAGATAAACGTAGCATCAACAAGTCTCCTCTTGCCAAACCTACAGCATCACCTCTATAACCCCCTCCTCTTTCCAAATCATTCACACAGTTGTGCTTCCCCTTCCTATCTTCATGCAAATAAAACAGAGTATGAAATAGTAATTCTGGTACTGCATTACACATTTCCTCCAGCCACACCTAGATCTCTTCCTCACCCCATATTCCTCCTCTTCAAGCTAAAACATCACAGTTAATTCCTGGTATATTACCATTTTTAGTCTATAAATGCTAATTACATTGTTTTCTATCACTAAAAAGTCACAATTATTTTATTACTGATTGTCCTATGCATTTTGACACTTCTCTGCCTTTCCTTTACAAAAGAAGACTTGACCAGTTCACAAACAGATGTACCTTAACAAGGCCAGGATACATTAACCTGTGTCACTTGGCACCTGGGCAAATGTCGGGCTCATGATTGGACATGCAAGCCATCATCCCAGTGACCAGGATATGGACTCATAAGGTGTTAAGCAACACCTTGCATCTGCTACTTTCACCATGACTCTATATAACTGCACTTGTCACTGGTGGATTAATGGTTTCTTGGTTTTGCCCTGAAAAAAATATTTGGTACCCCAAATTTACCTTTACTGGGTCATTTGCAGTCAGCCATTGAGCCCTTTGGCAGTTACTGAAATTCTAGCTAAGTTTATATAACATTTACCTTTTACTCAAACTTTGAAGGTTTTCATATTTCATTTGTTAAGGATGAGTTCTTGATTGTATGTGAATACTGCAACAGTATATTTATCTTTTTCAAAATGATTCTCAAAGTATCTGGGAGTATCAATCTTAAAAGTCTTTAAGCTTGCATTTTATATCTTCACTTTTGCCAACTTTCTGGACTTTGAATAATTGGGAAAAAGTACAAGGGAATAAAAAGGCATGAATAAGAGAGAAAGAAGAAAAGAAAAGAAAAGAGAGAGAGGGGGGGGGGAGAGGGAGAGGGGGGGGAGAGGGAGAGGGGGAGAGGGAGGGAGGGAGGGGGAGAGAGAGAGAGAGAGAGAGAGAGAGAGAGAGAGAGAGAGAGTGAGAGAGGAGAGAGAGAGGGAGAGAGAGAGAGAGAGAGGAGAGAAGGAGAGAGAGAGGAGAGAAGGAGAGAGAGAGGGAGAGAAGGAGAGAGAGAGGGAGAGAAGGAGAGAGAGAGGGAGAGAAGGAGAGAGAGAGGGAGAGAAGGAGAGAGAGAGGAGAGAGGAGAGAGAGAGGGAGAGAAGGAGAGAGAGAGGGAGAGAAGGAGAGAGAGAGGAGAGAGAGAGGAGAGAGAGAGGAGAGAGAGAGAGAGAGAGAGAGAGAGAGAGAGAGAGAGAGAGAGAGAGAGAGAGAGAGAGAGAGAGAGAGAGAGAGAGAGAGAGAGGAGAGAGAGAGAGAGAGAGAGAGAGAGAGGGAGGGAGAGAAGGAGAGAGAGAGAGAGAGAGAAGAGGGAGGGAGAGAAGGAGAGAGAGAGAGAGAGAAAGAGGGAGGGAGAGAAGGAGAGAGAGAGAGAGAGAGAGAGAGAGAGAGAGGAGAGAGAGAGAGAGAGAGAGAGAGAGAGAGAGAGAGGAGAGAGAGAGAGAGAGAGAGAGAGAGAGAGAGAGAGAGAGAGAGAGAGAGAGAGAGAGAGAGAGAGAGAGAGAGAGAGAGAGAGAGAGAGAGAGAGAGAGAGAGAGAGAGAGAGAGGAGAGAGAGAGAGAGAGAGAGAGAGAGAGAGAGGGAGGGAGAGAAGGAGAGAGAGAGAGAGAGAGAGAGAGAGAGAGAGGAGAGAAGGAGAGAGAGAGAGAGAGAGAGAGAGAGAGAGAGAGGAGGGAGAGAGAGAGAGAGAGAGAGAGAGAGAGAGAGAGAGAGAGAGAGAGAGAGAGAGAGAGAGAGAGAGAGAGAGAATGAGAGAGAGGGAGAGAAGGAGAGAGAGAGAGAGAGAGAGAGAGAGAGAGAGAGAGAGAGAGAGAGAGAGAGAGAGAGAGAGAGAGAGAGAGAGAGAGAGAGAGAGAGAGAGGGAGAGAAGGAGAGAGAGAGAGAGAGAGAGAGAGAGAGAGAGAGAGAGAGAGAGAGAGAGAGAGAGAGAGAGAGAGAGAGAGAGAGAGAGAGGAGAGAGAGAGAGAGAGAGAGAGAGAGAGAGAGAGAGAGAGAGAGAGAGAGAGAGAGAGAGAGAGAGAGAGAGAGAGAGAGAGAGAGAGAGAGAGAGAGAGAGGGGGGAGGGAGAGAGAGGGAGGGAGAGAAGGAGAGAGAGAAGGAGAGAGAGAAGGAGAGAGAGAAGGAGAGAGAGAAGGAGAGGGAGAGGGAGGGAGAGGGGGGGGTTAGAGGGAGAGAGGGCAGGAGAGAGGGAGAGGGAGAGGGAGAGATAGATTTAATAAACTGCTTAATTTTCCTGCTAGCTGGATATATTTTGAAAGGACTATACCTCATCAAAAATTACTGCATGAATCTTCCATTTAAAGGAAGAATAACACTAGATTCAATACTAAACAACATTTTCCCCCTTTAATGTTTCTCAGGGTAATCTCCATTATAAAGCACTATGAAGATCTACAACCTTTGCTCCTAAAATCTGATGCTCAGCACTAGCACTAGCAAAACACATCTCCCCTCTACCAGATAGATTTACTGCTAACGTGTTCTAGAATGTATCTAAATGATGTATGCTTTGTCTGCAATGTAAACTCTTACCAACAAAATAGGATGATCTTTTGTACTGTATTCCTTGTGAGAAAATACTGCCTGGAAAGCCTTGCAGACACTATCACTTAAAGCTATATGGTTCCTAATATTGTTCTATCTGAAGTCAGGGAATTGTTATCAATTATTTCCAATTATCTTACACTTTTATGCTGAACTCGTGCTTTATAATAAAAAAAATTGACTGATATAGGTTTCTTTGTCTATTTTTATTTCCTGTATTTATTTATCTATTATTTATTATTTATTTTTTTACAGATATTAGGATAGGTTACCACTATGACTCATGAGTTTCTAAACATTTCAAACCATGTGTCAGTGATAAAACTAGCTATCTATGACCGACATTTTGTGTGCATAAACGTTTACATATATGTAGTTGTACTTCTATTTATTTGTTTTTTCTCTGTTAAAATTTTTCAATTGTAACTGGAGCTTTATCACTTAACTTTGTGCCCTATGCAACCCTACTGTTGCTTTGTCAACAAGGCATCTGTTATTAAGACTCTCTGAAAGCCTTTTGTTCTTTCTATATCACTTTCATCATTTGTATCTATCTAATATTATTTTAACAATATGAAGGACTAATAACTTTTTAGATATCTAAGGAATAGGATAAACAGATGAGACCAGGTAGCCCCAGTTATTGACTCTTTGATAACTAAGTGCTTAAAAACCATCAATGTGTAACAAAATTAAGATAACAAAATTAGTGGACTGGATGTTCCGAGTGCCAATGAGTTCGTGCAAAAGTAAAATGGGCAATACTACAATAAAAAAAAAAAAAAATAATAATAATAAAAAAAAAGAAAAAAGTAAAGTACTAAATTCTCGAGTACACAAAAGCATACAGCTGATTACTACTGTCGTGGCATTACCTCCCTATATTTAAAATACATCCGTCCCTAAAATATAGCATGAATTGCCCCCCCAATAAATTCTAACAGTGCTCATTTCACTCCCTAATCCACTCTTGTCCCTAAATGAAGCCTTTGTTCACAGTCTGATTAAATGGTAGTCAATCTAAACATCTGTAAATCATCTGGACATTTAATTTTCATGTGATATCATTCCATCCTCAGAGTTCAAGGATGCTGCTTTAAGCCATCTCAAACCTACAAGGATAAGGTGGTCTGTAATTACAACGAAATATACGGTATAAATGTTTGTAAGTGAAATTGTAAATAGAGCTCGACTTTAAATTTTTCATTGGTATACATTTGTTAGGGATAAATTAGAAAAAGAAAAAATAGAAAAAAAAAATTGTGCAGAGCTGACGAGTTGTTTCCCGGATCTTGTCATTGTGCCTTTTTTCCTTGCAGCGCCTCGTGAGGAAGCACATTTTTAGCAACGGCCAAGCAATACGTGCCTGCAACCACTCCCCCCAGGGCCTGACCAAAGGGCGCTCTCCAGACATCCCCCAAAAACGAGACCATAAGGATGAAAGAAATAGACGCCAGGTCAGCAACAGGTCTTGCTGTCGTAACTTTACTGGAATGTTCTGCGTCTGCCATTGCTCTCGCCCCTGCTGCGGCTTCCCGGTGACTCATCATACCTTTTTCCTCTTCGCGATCCCTCGTCTCGCGAGTACTTGCTCTGTACGGGCCTGGCGCTACTCACCACGCACGTCGCGGCCTGAGCCATCGCGAGTCACAGATCCGACGTGGAGAGAATTCGGGCCTCGTAGGAAGCCGTGTCCGCGCGGCTGCGACCTTCTTTTATATGTGCTCCGCCGCCGCCGACTCGCCTTTCTAAGCGGCTGGCGGTCACGGCGGCGCGCGAGGACAAACCTCCCTTTGATTCCGCCCACAGCTTTAACTTGGCTTGTTTTTAAAATATTTTGGTTCGATAAAATTAGGGGATTACTTTGATGTGACTTTCATCAATATTGATCATTTGTATGGGAATAATTGGATTTATTATTTAGATTAGCTAAACTTCGCTGTTGCGAAAAGGTGATCAAATAAATTAGTTTCATGGAAATGGTTATTTTGCCTTTGGAATTTTAATATAACTTAAAAGAAATGGTGTCTTAGTTGATGTTAATACATATAAACCCACCCTTTACTGAAATACGGAATGTTATATGAAGGTCTCCCCCAAATGATTCCTGTGAACCTCGAAGCTTTTCATGAAGGCAAAAGAGCACCAAGTTTAAACACCCAAGTCACTGCCATGACGCAATGCCAACTTGCCTCATTCCACCAAAAAATGTTATTCCACCGAGCAGCAATAATTTACAACAAATAAATCCAAAGGAATACCCAACATTTCCCTTCAAACCGCTATTATTCACGTAGCCTAATAGCGTAGTAGAATCAGCTGATCGCGTGGTGGCAAAGGGAAGGGAAGTCGGGCTGATCGCTATTCCAGGAGCGGCACGGAATTTGGTAAAATAATTAAAGGTTCTGGTTTTCAGATGTGTGGGAAAGTGTGTCATCTTACACACTATGCCAGACATGCTTTTATTTCGGCAATAAGAATTTTGTGACGAGAGTAGGTGATGAGCATTGTGTCCACATGTTTTCGCATCATTTGGTAAACTAATAATTCATTATACTTTTTGAGTAATATAATGATGAAAAGCTAAGAGGCTCATAAACTAAAAGTTGTTATGACGCAGGTGTGATATACGGCACTGAGATAGGAAAATAATGAATATTCTGGTCATGACATTAATTGGAAAAAAAAGTGTTAAGCGGCCCCTAGACGTTCAATATTATTGCGCAATATTTTGGTTTGTGCAATATAATTGATCGTGTGTGGGCAATATTGAAAGGTTGTGCAATATATTGTGTGATTTTCAAAAATGAGAGACAAGAAGTAGTAAAAAAAGTAAATTCTTTGCGAACAAACTTCCGGAAAGAATTAAAAAGGATTCGCGATGCAGAGAGAAGTGGTGCCGGTGCAGAGGATGTGGAACCTACACTTTGGTATTTTGACGAAATGAAGTTTCTTGTAACTCGGGAAACACCTACCGCTTCAATCAGCACGATGGACATATCTCAGGATGTTCATGACAACGAGGATCGTTGCAACGCAAATGAAACCAGAGCGGTAAGTGGCCTATTTTATTAAGTTTCTGTACAAGTTTATCTTTCTCTTACATAATATCAACCTATTATTGATAATAATGCAGAACAGGACCTCATAAAGAAATGTATGTAATTACATTCTACATACCCTAAAATATATGTGGAAACCAAAAAAAAAAAATTGTCCCTGTGCTGCGGAAAGATGGTTATTGATCCTTTGAACATTGGATGAGCCACACATTATATCTAAAAAACGAAGCATTTTGATGAAAAATGTTATTCCACCGAGCAGCAATAATTTACAACAAATAAATCCAAAGGAATACCCAACATTTCCCTTCAAACCGCTATTATTCACGTAGCCTAATAGCGTAGTAGAATCAGCTGATCGCGTGGTGGCAAAGGGAAGGGAAGTCGGGCTGATCGCTATTCCAGGAGCGGCACGGAATTTGGTAAAATAATTAAAGGTTCTGGTTTTCAGATGTGTGGGAAAGTGTGTCATCTTACACACTATGCCAGACATGCTTTTATTTCGGCAATAAGAATTTTGTGACGAGAGTAGGTGATGAGCATTGTGTCCACATGTTTTCGCATCATTTGGTAAACTAATAATTCATTATACTTTTTGAGTAATATAATGATGAAAAGCTAAGAGGCTCATAAACTAAAAGTTGTTATGACGCAGGTGTGATATACGGCACTGAGATAGGAAAATAATGAATATTCTGGTCATGACATTAGTAGGAAAAAAAGTGTTAAGCGGCCCCTAGACGTTATTGTGTGATTTCAAAACTTAAAAATATATTGCGCAAACGGGATAATATTGTGTCGTCTGTTGGCTATATTGCGCAATATCCTGTCAGTCTCTCTCCAGCGGTCGTGTGAGATGTTTGTCTCTCTCCTCAACCACGCGTATCATGGGTGACAAGAAAGCCGAAAAAGAATTCATTGCTAAATTTATTGAGGTGTATCGTGGTCTTCCCGCTCTGTGGGATGTGAAATGCAAAGATTATACAAATCGTGCCAAAAAGGGGGAGCAGTACGATGTGCTGATAGAAAAGTACCGTGAAAAATATCCGGATGCTGAGAGACAAGAAGTAGTAAAAAAAGTAAATTCTTTGCGAACAAACTTCCGGAAAGAATTAAAAAGGATTCGCGATGCAGAGAGAAGTGGTGCCGGTGCAGAGGATGTGGAACCTACACTTTGGTATTTTGACGAAATGAAGTTTCTTGTAACTCGGGAAACACCTTCCGCTTCAATCAGCACGATGGACATATCTCAGGATGTTCATGACAACGAGGATCGTTGCGACGCAAATGAAACCAGAGCGGTAAGTGGCCTATTTTATTAAGTTTCTGTACAAGTTTATCTTTCTCTTACATAATATCAACCTATTATTGATAATAATGCAGAACAGGACCTCATAAAGAAATGTATGTAATTACATTCTACACACCCTAAAATATATGTGGAAACCAAAAAAAAAAAATTGTCCCTGTGCTGCGGAAAGATGGTTATTGATCCTTTGAACATTGGATGAGCCACACATTATATCTAAAAAACGAAGCATTTTGATGAAAAATGTTATTCATGAAAACGTCTTTAAATTAGGTTAGGCTACGTTTGGTTATGTTAGGTTTAATTAGGTTAGGTTAGGGATTTTTTTTATTTGACACTCTATAGGTAAAATAACACATTGTAAGACGTTTTTCATGAATACCATTTCTCGGAAAAATGCTTAGTTTTCGAGGTACCTCATGATTTAACTATTTATTTTAATGTTCTTCAATTTTTATTACTATTGAGGATACTCTTCTCGATTCAGTTATTGGTCGAGCCAAGTGCGCCGACATTTTTCCATTGCCATGAAACCTGGCCTTCATTGTTGAAGTAATCAGAATAGGTTTCTCTGACTGCTTTAGCACTATTTGTTGCGTTTCTGGAGGTAGTGTTTGGCAGAAGTGGTGTTATCTCATTTACAACATCCCTCCATGACCCTTTCGTGATGACACCTGCCTGCAAATCCTCACAGTCCACGAGTTGCGTTGTGACATAAGCTCGTGAATGTCGCTTGCGTAAAAAGTTATGCAAATAACAACATGCCAAGGCAACTATTCGAGCTTTTTCAGGAGAGAGTGCTATTGGCTTCTGTAACACACCAAATCGGCTGACCAAGATCCCAAAGGTATTTTCGATCACATGACGAGCACGACTCATTCGGTAATTGAAAATTCTTCTATTCACATTTAATGCTGATTGGGGGTAAGGTTTCATAACATTTTCGGTTAGTCCGAAGGCATCATCTCCCAGAAAAACGAATGGCAATATTTTCTGACTATTCGGCAGTTGTGTTGGTTTCGGAATTCCCAATGTATTACCAGCAAGCGCCTGCCTGAATTTCGTGTAACTGATTACACCATCGTCCGATACTCTTCCATTGACTCCTACATCAACCATCATGAACTCATAGTTGGCATTTGCCACTGCCATCATCACAAAGCTGAAAAATTTCTTATAATTGAAGTAAAGGGATCCAGAATTGTCAGGTTTCTTGATTGCGACATGCTTGCCGTCGATTGAATCCAGGCAGTTGGGGTAATTCCACTGATCGTAGAAATCTTGTGCAATTTGTTTCCATTCTTGGGTTGTAGTCGGTACCTGCAACAAAGAAAAACAACTTGATAAAGGATATATAACATGTTGGTTCGCTCTCATTTTGATGTGACGTATGTGACGTTACATTTTCCATCCGTTTCGGCTTCGTTTTCTGTTCATTACCGTAACCATCAGCAGTGCAGACAATTTTCATCTTGCAGTGGTTTTATCTCAGCATTATTCAAAGTAACATTCATTTCCGTATATAACATTAATTTTTGGGAGAAATAAATAGTTTTGAGTTATTCGCTTCTGAAGTTATTTTCTTCCTATCTATTACCCAAGGAATCGAAACTTTAGTAAAGTCGTGATATTCAGTCTAGTTAGGTTAGGTTGGGTTAGGATAGGTTAGGGACATCTATTAAAGGACATTTATTAAATGCCCAACCTTATACTTAAACTTAATTAACTTTAATCTTTTCCTCAGGTGGATGATGAATCTCGTCAAAAGAACAGGAAACGTAAAGCTCCAGATCCCACTGAGGAATTGGTGAAATTGGCCTCCAAACGCCTTCAACAACCACAAGACGACAGTGACATAGTTGCTGCAGCTTGGGCAGTCGAGCTCCGAAAAATGGATCCACAACAGCAGTTGTTTGCAAAGAAGGCCATCAATGAGATACTGTTTGAGGGACAAATGGGAACCTTACACCGTAGTTCAGTTGAAATTAACGTCTCACGTGTGGCCACACCATATAGTGTTCAGTCCCTCCCTTCCCCTTCATTCCCTCAGTATGAATCAGCAAGTGCCTCCTCGCAACACACAGGTGGATAATACACTACTTTGCATTAAGACAGTTACTTTCCAACTTCATGTAGGCTAGGTATACCTTATGTAGGTATACCTTATGTACAATGTCAAGTTTTGTTCTAGCCAATGTATGCCAATATTTTGAATGTATAAATAAAAGGATTTGAAATGGAAAAAGAACTTACCTTAATGTATTCCTTGAGACAGTTGATTAAAGCAGTGCATGTTTCCATAACTATTTGCCCTATTGACTGAGGTGACACAGCAGTTAAAAACTTCAGATCTTCATAGCTATTCCCGGTAGCGAGATATCGTAGAGTTATGGACAACCGTTGGCTTACAGGAATTGCATCGCGCATGATAGTGTTCCTTTTTTCGATTTCAGGAGCAACCAAAGCAAGGAGTTCATCAAATAATTCTCCGTTCATTCGTAAAAAGTTGCGGAAATCATTTGGTTCATTTACTCTCAGTTCATTGAGTAATTTTTCGTGGGTGAACTTCTCCCTATCAATAAACCATTGTTTGGCCCATTTTCTACCCTTCTGCGAGCCTTTTTTCTTCCCTTCCTTACGACTTGCTGCCACAGCAATCATCACACAACACAATTCTGAGTCAGTCAACATGTTGACGTTATGAAGTTCTGGCAGGGACTGACTGTTTGCACAATGTGGTTGTATGTCTGTGCTCACTGATTGCGTAATATATTGCACAATCTTCAATATCGCCTCCATACGGTACAATCTTTTGCACAAACCAAAATATTGTACAATAATATTGACCGTCTAGGGGCCACCGTCAAAATATTGTGCAACCCACATTGCGCAATAATATTGAACGTCTAGGGGCCGCTTTAGACTTGCCCAAGAATTATTCGTATACTACACTTGCCTAACATACTATATACTTATAGAATACACCATGATTAAAGTCGAGAATTTCTGTAAGGTATTTTACTATTTCTTTCCATCTCTCATTTTACATATCGGTCACATGATAATTATTTAATTATTGAATATCATGTTGGTATTTGTTACCGAGAGCAATGCACCCCCCAGAGACATAGTCCCAAATCCAAGATTACATGCAAACCCAAAATCAAAACCTAACCTTTCTTACTTTCTATTTTACTCACTAGACAGGGAAGCAGGGCCCCTTGTACCACCTTTAATAATACTTTGTGCGAACTTACAGAAAACGCTTCATTAAGAACTGTGGTTGTGTGAGGGTGTTGTGGACTTAGTCTCTGAACAGTGACATGCACAGGGTATTTTTGTAATTTTCTGGTAAATATGAGGCCGCTGCAGATATACCTGTATTGCTTCTTGACAGTGTCCATTTCCCTCTATCTCCATGCATTCCTCTTGGTAATATTAACCATTATGTTATTCTATATATATATTGTTATTTAGTTTCTGTCATTCCAGATCTTATTGATTACCTTAAAATTACAAAGTTGGTTTGATTTGGAATTTAAATAACACTATGATTTTACAAACATTGAATCCTTCACACAGATAGAATCATAAATACTTGAAGAGAATTTAAACAGTAAATATAATTCTAATAAGAGTAATAATAATGATAAAAGAACATTGATAATCTTAACTGTAAGTAATATAATATCGATTAATTGACAATCATCTTAATAAGAATTGTAATAGAATGGTAAAAATAATCTCTTATTAAATTACAGAGGCAATATTAACGACAAGAGCCAAGATGAGTTCTCGTTCTCTTGTGTTCGTCACGGGAAATGCTAAGAAGTTGGAGGAAGTCGTAGCCATTCTGGGAGATACTTTTCCTTTTAAGTATGTTGTGTTTTTTTTTTTTTTTTTTTTTTTTTTATTTAATTTAAGTTTAATTGTGATTCATTTTTCAGATTATGATAATCAACTGGTTCATCTTCAACACTGTCAGTGTCAACATTATAATTGTTATTGTTACCATAATTATGACACATCATTATTATAATCATCTTATATATTTTTGTATTAATTTAAGCTATATCAATTTTACCATAAGTGGGTATCCCAATTTCTCAAGAAATACTTTAAACTTTTGGCTGCTAGGCAGAATGAGCCCCTGAGCAGTTGCCATTGCTAGCCAATTTTCAGTTTGATTTTTATTTTACCCAAGACCTTTAAAGGGATTGAGAATATCACAACTAACAGTGAACTTGATTCTAATCATTAGAAAATACTGAACCTGAACACCAGAAAGACTTTATACTGCATTAAAAATTGGGCCATGGTGGCAGCACTTCTGATGCCTATACAGTATACCCAATTAGTGGTTCTCAAGTTTGTTATTTATTATGAATTGTATATAGGCAACAGATATTCAGTGCTAATACTGTTATAGTTTCAGTATTTTACTTGATATTTTAGTGTTCAACTTTTACCATTGCCAGACTTTCATGCATCTGCAGAATTTTGCAAAGGTAAAATTACATACCTAAATATTATGAAAGAATAGATATAGATGCATACTCAAAAATCTGAAAAGAATTATGGCTATTACTATAATTGATATGAAACTAACAGATCATATCATTAAACTATTTGCAGATTTAGGATATTTATTTTTCTTTATATTTCCTGAAACCAAATAAAAGCTCTTGATATAGCATTTACCAGGAGCCAACACCTACAGATTAACCTGTCTAGTTTCAATATAAATATCTATAATCTGCCTATTCTTCCACCATAGTGATACATAGACAACTTTTCTTGCATTTTAAACACTACTTTATAATTACAGTTTCACTTCTGCTTTAAATTTTAGTTTCAGTTAACCCATTCACGCTGGGCGTCACGTATACGTGACGGCCCCACTGTGAGTTTACTTGTTTGATTGTTTACAAACATAGATGGCTCCACTTGCACTTGTACTGCCTGTCTCGTCTATTTACCCTTTTCTTTAATTTACGAAATTATTTTGCGTTATCTTATTTTGCTGTTACTAATGTTTATAACATTATAGTAATTATAATGTTTATAATAAAAATAACCATTGATATTCATAGCACTAGTAAAAATACATTTTCCCGCCAAATGAAATCTGGTAAAGCAGAGCCATCTAGTGTAGAGAAATTTCATTAAAAAGTATAAAAAATGAGCACAGCATTTCCCCCATTTTTTGTTCATTTTTACCCGGCGCGAATGGGTTAAGTTATTAATTTCTTACTTAGATGTTAATGGGAAATTTCTTTTCATATATTTATTGTGTGCACATATATTTCTACATATTAAGGGATGTAGAGGGTATTACCTTTTCCTATTTAGTACTGCAGTATCATATAAAACAGTTGTAGTTGCAAGTGCATTTAGGAAAGAATGTACATATATTTTCTTATGCTGTATTTTATTTCAAACAGAATAATCAGCCAAAAGATAGACTTGCCAGAGTACCAAGGTGAAGCTGATGAAATCAGCCGCAAGAAGTGCCAGGTAGCAGCCGAAATTGTCAAAGGTCCTGTTATTGTAGAAGACACATGCCTGTGCTTCAATGCACTAGGTGGTCTCCCAGGTATGTTTTTAGAAAAGAAAAGATAAGTTGTCAAAATTTTACAAAACAAATATATAGCTTTAAGTTAGCTTATACCATCCATATGGAATGTAAAACATTTAACATAAAATCTAAATTAGGTGACTCACTGATATCCTATATAAATATCTGTCATATCAAGTAAACAAAGTCTCTTTGTTTGTTTAGAATACAAATATATTTGCAGTTTTTGTAGATTATAAAACTGTATGCTTCTGCATCTAACCCACTTATTTATGTATAGATTTACAGAATGCATGCATTGAAACTATTTAAATAAAATGGGGCTTGATATTTTCAGGACCATATATCAAGTGGTTTCTGGACAAGCTTGGTCCAGGTGGCCTGACAAAGCTCTTAGCAGGTTTTGAAGATAAGGTAAGATATTTTATTTGATTTATTTGATAATAACATCCTTTTCTGATAAATCTAGAAAGTGGGGTTTCAGTCTCAGTAAATGTTACTAATGTTCTTATGAGACTTGCTATTGTTTTTTTTTTTAAGGCTGAAAATTCTGAGTAGTGAAGGCAGGTAATGCCTGCTTCTTCATTCCAGGCTATCTGCTATATCTTTTGTTTTTTGTTAAAAGCTCTTTAATCAGGTAATATAGTACAACTGATTTAACAAGGAAATTCAAAAGTGTAGACTTATCATTGTTTGAAAAGTGATGTTCTTGTGAAGAAATACTGAAATATTGACATATATATACATAATTTATGATATTCAAAAATTGATTAAGAATAGGAGGTTCATTGCAGTTACTTTGATATTGCAATTGTGATATTCCCCTTAATATAAATTTTGAAATAAAAAGACTATATTGTTTATACACTGTTTGCTGTATATGTCCGTTCCATTACCATGTTATTGATTTTTTTTTTTCATTTGCAATACTGTAGTTCAAAATGTAATATAGTTTGAATATTTTCCAGTCTGCTGAAGCTGTTTGTACATTTGCTTACTCTTCTGGGGAACCCAATGACGAAGTACTTTTGTTCCATGGTCGCACTCAAGGTTCCATTGTGGAGCCTCGAGGGGAGCACAAGTTTGGGTGGGATCCTATCTTCCAGCCAAAAGGTTGGTAATACAAGAATGTTCACTGGTTTGATGTTTATTTTGGTTTTCTTTGCATATAGGATTAATGTTTAATTTTGAACATTTATGGCTTAGTGCTGCTTCATATCCAGTAGTCTAAAGTGTCATATATATATATATATATATATATATATATATATATATATATATATATATATATATATATATATATACATATACATATACATATACATATACATATACATATATACATATATACATATATACATATATACATATATACATATATACATATATACATATATATATATATATATATATATATATATATATATATATATATAGACACACACACACACACACACACACACACACAACACACACACACACACACACACACACACACACACACACACACACACACACACACACACACACACACACATACATATGTAGGTATTTATGTAAATTCATATTTGTATATATTTGTATATATACATTTATATGTCTACACATGTATATATATTTATATAAGGAGTCATTTACATACCAGTTTTTGAACTTTAGATGTATTAACAAGATGCCTTTTTTGTATTGTCTTGCAGGTTATGACCAGACATACGGTCAGTTGGAGAGAGATATTAAGAATACCATATCTCACCGTTTTAAAGCAGTAGATGCTTTGCGTGACTACTTTACAGGTGAAGAAGGAAGAGCACTGTTGTCCAAGAAGTTAAAGGTTGAAGACAACAATGAGAAAGCATAGCATTGAGGTTTTGTCTGCTGATCCAGCTGAACTAAAAAGATTTCATGTAAGAATCTTTGGCTTAGGTTTTCAGGATATTCTGCTTGTTCAATGGTATATGTATCTGTATTTCTTTTTTAAAAATCTTGATTTTCATATTTTTTCATACTTGGAAAGCATTTTAGTTGCATTTGCAACAGTAAGGTTCATTAGTTTCAATACATGTCTTGCTCCCAATAACTCCAGAGTGTCAGATTTTTAGGTTAATTTTAACCCATTGCCGCCGGGGGTGGCATGTATGTACATGCCATGCCCACTGTGAGTCGATTTGTTCGATTGTTTTTACACATAGATGGCTACACTTGTACTAAGTATCCAATGAGCCAATTACGAGTACTGCCTGTCTCGCCCGTTCACCCTTTTCATCGATTTACGAAAATATTTAACGTTATCCTAATTTGCTGTTAAATATAACACCATCTATATTTGTAGCACTAGTAAGAATACGTTTTTTCCCGCCAATTCAAGGAAAGGTGAAATCAGGACTAGCAGAGCCATCTATGGACAGAGATATTTCACAAAAATATAAAAAATGAGTACTGTATTTCCCCCATTTTTTGTTCATTTTCCCCAGTGGCAATGGGTTAAGTGAGGTAGTGATGAGAGTGAAATAATGCATCTTATTCATCATTTATTGCAAATCAGTTTTTCTTGGAGTACATTATGTATATAGCAGGTGCTGTGGGCAAGTGAGTTTTGTGCTTATTCTCTAGTCTCTATGCTGTGCTTATTCATAATAGATTAATTGTAATTCTTTCATTTCAGGATCCTGCTTTCCCATGAAATTCCCAAAAAGAAGGACCATCCCTGCCTGTGCACAGAATAAAAGGATTTGTTTATGAAATTTTACTTAATGACAGTATTCATGCTCCCCTTTTCCATTTATGATTATCATATCTGGGGTTTATATAATGAGCAATATATTTCTTGTATTGTGTTTTGAAAAATCTTTTATTATGCCTATAGCACAAAGAGGGTTACAAAGATAAAGGCCCTGCAAACCTATATATATATATATAATGTCAGTCTGTTTATTGTTGTGTAAGTCACTGCTTTAGATCACAACATCATATATGCCACAAAAGAGGAGAAACCTCTTTGATGTAGATGGTATCTATTAGAAAGTTAAGCAGGTTTTCTTGCTTATATCATAATTATGGGGCTGATGTTTAAATTATATAAACCATTTCATTATTTACAGATATGGAAAGAGTCCAAATTCCTTAACCCATTCGCCACATATGGCAAGAATAGATGCCATACCCACTTTGATACACGTTTATTTATTGTATTTACACATAGATGGTTCCATAAGTTTTTAATCACCAGATAGCCAGTTATCAAGAACTACCTATTTCACCTGTTTACCCTTTTCCTTCACTTTAGGAAAGTTTTTTTTTTGTATCATTTCATTGTCAAAAATATTCTAATGACAATTCAATAAGCATAACATCAATAACAATAATAACAGTATCGAAAGCAATGGTATTAGTTTTCCTGCCAGTTCAATGAATGGGAAAATCAGGGTCGGTAACTTGGGTCTACTGATCAACTCCTTGCCGGCTGAGCACATGTGGAGCCATCTGTAGGTAACAAAATTCACTAAAAACTACAGGGGACAGAACATAAATCCGTGGCGAATGGGTTAACATATGACAGATAATAGTTTTTGTTAAGCACAAGTTCTTTTTACCAATTTGACAGGTTGTGTTCTTTCAACCTCACTTATTGTTGCTGAATTAAAACCTTCTTTTAAGATTTTACTATTCATTTACCTTTCTCCTTTTACATGTGTAAGTTTGCATCATAGTTTGTTGCAGATGTCAAGACAAAAGTTTTATTATATGTTAACCCATTCCCGACAGGCATGGCATATACGTACATGCCATGCCCACTGTGAGTTTACTTATTTAATTGTTTTTACACATAGATGGCTACACGTACTAAATCACCAATGAGCCAGTTAGGAGTACTGCCTGTCTTGCCCGTTTACCCTTTTCTTTTATTTACAAAAATATTTTACATTATTTTATTTTGCAGTTACTATTGTTTATAACATTATAGTAATTTTAATGTTTA